GCAACAAAAGAAGAGCCTGAAACAGGAAGCAGTAGGACAGAACCCTGACAGAAATGAATAGCTCCTGAGGTTTTCTTTCCTAAGTGCCCCTTACTAATCTGTTAAAGTAACTACAATGTAGTGTGGTGTATGTTAAAATCGATGCAGAGTTCATTTAAATGTGTGTATGACATACAGTATGTAAACCTGATTCTCCATTTTGTTGTGGAGTACTTTAAAGCAAAAGTCCACAGATATGTAAAATAAATAGACGTTTGTTTACCCTTTTATTTTATTGATTCCAAAACTACTGACTGATAATGATATAATCAAAAGTAATTTAACTCATGGCCAATAAGCTTTTATTGTTGCTGTTTTATATTTGCTCCGAATTAAGTACTTGTTTATCCTTATTTGCTTCTGCGGAAGCAACATCACTACATATTGCTTGAGTGCTGGAAAGCAGAAGAAATGTAACAACTTTTAGTCTGCACTGGATGCCTACTATGTGATATTGTCTACACAGTAAAGTACAAAACACTAAAGCAATAAATCCCCCATTTTAATGGGTTACAGTTTATTGTGCAATAATCACCTCTGTTATTCAAGTGTATGTAGTGAAATCGTGTTTAAAATGACTTAAGGCTGAATCAGGGGTTAAATTGGAATTTGTGAGAAGGGGAGCCCTTGTCCAGAGAAGGTAGTTCACAGCTCACACATTCAAGTTTCAGGGGGACAATTTCTTCAGTAGTAAATAACTGATGTAGATTGTTCAAAGTAACAATAGTACCATTTCTGTTACATTTAATGCTGTTCCATAGACTACAGTCATACAAAGATAGGTTTCAATTTTTGCTGCCTGAAATTGCAGCTATAAATTTTACCGGCTGTTAGTTGAAACTTGCTTACAAGTGTTGTCTTCAGATGACTCATTATAAAATGAGAACCATATATATCTCATTGTTTGTTATGATATCATACTAAAAGCCTGGGGCTAAATATACTGCTCCCAGAAAACATGTCAACATCCTTACCAGATGATAACATACAGAACACATAAAAGAGCAGCATTGTTCTTGTATTGGAAGGTAAATCTAGTTGTTCTAGCATTGCAGTGTTATGTGGAAAATGATAGATCACTTACTTTGTACTAACATAATCTCTGTTGGTGCTTAGCTTACTATAAAACATGCTTACACAAGCAGTAGTTTGGGTCACAGTGTAGCTGAAGTTGCTAGAATGTAAGTTTCCTCTAATGCAATCCAATAACTACACAAAGTTATTAATGTTAGCTTAAACTTTCATATTTCCAGGATCAGCACAAATGATCAAAATTCCAGTTCGAAATGGACTGGACACGTAACCTCACAAAATAATAAATTAATGAATTATACACTCCTTGGCTCTTTTACAAATCACACTACTGTACATTCCAGTGTACTGTAGGTAGCATGCTAGTTAGTAACTGTTTAATCCATTCCTTGTTAATTAAGTATACACCATGTTATAGAAAACATATGGTATGTAAGTGCTACAGTATAACTAACATAAAACTCTGAGTATTTTCCACAAAGGGAATGAAGCAGGCACAGAAATCACAGCAAAATTTAGAGGGTCACAACCATTCAAAAAATTTAACAATACATTTCACAGTTGTATACTGCTATCACCATTACTGCACTGAATGCATGTCTACTGATATTTCATCAACATCTTTAGCCTTACATTGTGGATTGGTGTTCCAGGCTTGATAAAGGCCAAGAGTAGATGGATGTAGACCTTAAACATCATCCACAATTCTCTTCTATCCCATAAATAGAAGAGAATTCCCATTCTATTCCATAAAACAGGTCCTATTTTGTTAGTTACTGCTTTGGCACTCCTTATATTCCTCTGCCTCAGTCTGTGTTGTGATGCCACATCATCAAGCTGAGGTTACACAGCTACTTGTTGCGTTGAGTTTTAATGGTCTGGTCACCTGCCATTACTACAGTTAGGCTATTAAAGAGAGACAGCTAACTAATGAGAATTCCTTTGTTAATGTATTTAATGTGGAACAAATACTTTTAGGCAGGTGTTGACATAACATGATTTATAAGCAGCATTTAAGATATCAATGCTAATTTCAGGTTAGGCTAACTAGCTTGCTGACCTCAAAGTTAATTAGTCAAGTTCAAGTACTGTTTGGGACATAAGCATTAAATGCTAATGCTACATAACCAAAGCTATGTGGATTTGTTAAAAAGGGGATAACATTTACAAGTCAGTAGCATACCATGGACACTGACAGCACATCTCCTGATGCCAGTCAGCCTCTGACATGGGAAATGTCCAAGCACTTGAAGCTTACATTCAGTTTTCACTGGTATATCCAAAAATTGTTTTATCTTCTTTTGAAAAATGAACACAATATGGATTTTGAAAGCAGAAATAATACATACATTTTTTCTTGAAGTGCAAAACACTTATGCAAGTTGTAGCTGGAAAGCCCTTACCACTTATGGGTGTAATATACAGTACTTTAGACAGATATGGCTATTTAGACAGTTTGCTGACTCTATCAGGCCTTTCTACTTGTGATACTATCAAACTCTCTTTAAGCATCCACCCTTATCGTGTCATTATCACTGTTCAGCAAAAATTAGATTTGCTTTAAAGTTGGGAGTTTTAAGAGTTGTGTCACGGGGTGGTGCATGAAGCTCCCATGAATGTGGAGGTGTGAACTGTAGAAAGAAATTCTTGATAAAATGATATAGTGCTATGTTATGTATTTGCAAAACTGTTTAAAAGATTGTTTAATCTGCTTGACCTTTATAATGGCGTGACCTGTGCACTAGAAATGCTGTGTGTGAGTAGGTGTTTAAGTGCAGACTCAGAACAACAGGAAGTTGCGCAGATGCAGACTGAGACTGTCTGCAAGAAGAGTTGTGAGGGTATAAGGTCTTATTGTTTTGGCTTTATATTATCAACATTTATCAACATTATATGA